CACTTCTGGCTTTTTTCTTTTTGCTTATGTGGTGCTGAGGAATTGAACCCAGGGCCTCAGGCATGCAAGGCAAGCGCTCTACCACTGAGCCACCTCTCCAGCCCTATTTTTAAAACTTCTATGCTATTTTATATTATGATCCTGATTATATCTCTAATGAGAGGAATTTGAACCAGTTGTCCCACTGAGAACGCTCTAGGCTCTAGGAAATATTTAATACAGAAAAATAACAGCTGTCTGAAATTGTTAATAAGATGAATAGAGCTGAGGAAGACAGACCCGGTGATGGGCTTGACATCTGATTTCCTTCTCTCCCAGAACTGCCAGCTCCCCTTGAGGCAGCTGCCTGTGGTGGGCAGGCGGCTGAGAGGCCCGGAAGGCAAGCAGTTGTCCTGACACATTCAGTCCTCAAGGACTGGAAGGGCCATAATGGCTTCAAAGGGGAAGGGACGAGCAAACTGTGACCAGATAATTGAAAATTCAACAAAAGAACTGGAAAGACAGAGGAACTACATTGCTGACAAGCTCAATTGTCCTCTGACAATTCCGTCACAGTTTATCAAAATAAACAAAAAAACACAAGTTCACAGGCTGCGACTGTGGGTCATAGACAATATTCTGTATCATACATTGGGATTCCAAAAGAACTGTCCTGAACAGGACAACAGTGGGTTCATTCCTCTGTGTATTTGTCAAAACACATAAGCCTGCACCACATAGCATGAATTGTAATAAGAAATCAATATTGGCTAATTGATTGTAACAAATAAAATGGACGCAAGATATGTTGAAGGTGCTCAGTGGGGGATGAGGATGGAAGGTGTGGGAAGGGAGGGAAAAAATGTCTTCAAAATAATAATGATAGATGTTCAATGAACCTTTCATGAGAGAGGGGGGAGAGGATAGTGGGTCGACATTTGCACAACACCAAATAAACAAATGCGAATTTCATCTAACCTTGAATTACATGCCTAGAGAGCATATCTTTCAAAGATGAAGGACTCAAGTAAAAAAACTGTCACCATCAGTTCTTTTTTTTGGGGGGGGGGGTCCGGTCGTGGGGCCTGAACTCTGGGCATGGGTGCTGTCCCTCAGCTCTTCAGCTCAAGGCTAGCACTCTACCACTTGAGCCACAGCACCACTTCCGGCTTTTTTCATTTTACTTATGTGGTGCTGAGGAATCGAACCCAGGGCCTCATGCAGGCAAGGCAAGCGCTCTACCACTGAGCCATCTTCCTAGCCCCTGTCACCATCAGTTCTACGCAAAAGGAAAATTCTAATAGGTGGGGGGCATTCTCTGGACATAAAATCCCATGTGGAAACAGACCCAGGAAGGATACAAGAATTAACGGAAGAAGAAACATGTGAAACCTAACCAAGTTTCCTGTCTTAAAGAATAAAGATGTGCTGGGCAAGGATGGCTCAAGCCTATTGTGGAGAGCTGCCGGAGCCGCGACCAAAGAGGCTGCAAAAGCAAAAATGGCAGGGCCGCGTGGTGTGGCTGCGACCTAAGATGGCGCGGGCTCCCGCCTTCCGTCTTCCTCGTGACGAGTGCTCTCTGTAAAAAACAACTCCTTATATGGCTATGACCTGGCTCCTAGTTTGCTTCCG